GAAAATCAGAGTGCAAACCCCAATGTGCTCACACAGCTCAAGGGGTGGAAGGGACAGAAAATCAAAGTGCAAACCCAAACTGTACTGACACAGCCCAACAGGTGAGAAGGGACAATAAATCAAAGTGCAAACCCCAAGTGTTTTCACACACCCAGTGCTGAGCCTGCCAGCCCTGTGTGGATCCAGGATCCAAACCCTGCCCCGGTGCTGCCCCAGGGCACCAAGAACCCCCTGCCCCACAAACAATCCCACAAACACTGAAAAGGCTTTCTTTGGTTTGCTTTCAAAAGACGATATTGCAGATTTTTTAAGAAATTGCTCTAAGGATTGATACATCCAGGGCTAGTTGTAATTCACATTTCCTACTTTCTGACTGGCAAAACTTTGAAAATTTCCCTATTCACAGTAAAAAATATTTTCCAAGTGAAATTGCTATAAAAATATCAAAGCCATTTTTATGTACGGACAGCATTCTCTTAATTACACTGAAAATTAAGTTTGTGGAGTTTTGCCTGGATGTTATGACTTTTCTTTAAGCGCATGAATACAATTTTCATTTTTTTCCCACCTAGAAATGGAACTGTAAACAACTTCCACTCAACAGAATATACAAACTTTAAGAAAAGAAACTCAGTTTAGGGGTTCAAATAATTACTGCTGTGGACACTGATGAATGCTGCCTGATTTGCATTAAGACCAGATAAAATCCCTAAACGGGAATCTTCAGGGATTGTGAGGTTTTTGCAAAGTGACTTTTCCAGAATCAGGATGGAGGCTCAGGTGAGCAGAGTCACTGAGGAGTTCTTGTCCCTCCGTGTGTTTGGGACACTGTCCCTGCCAGGGCTGCGGGCTCTGTGCCCGGGATGGGCTGCTCTGTGCCCAAAAACGGGACAGGAGGGGCAGCAGGAGCTGCTCCAGCCCAAAATCAGAGCACGGCACAGCTCAAAAACCAGAGATAAAACAGAGGATTGAATAAAACACAAGAGGTGATGGAGCAGAGCGGAGCCCCCGGGGTGGGTGAGTGAGTGCTGCAGAGTCCCAGTACAGCCCAGTATAGTCCAGAATGGCCCAGCACAGCCCAGCACACCCCAGTACAGCCTAGCA